GAGAGGGGGGTCCTGTCGACTGGGAAACCCAGGATCTCCACACACTCCGCCCAGGCTTGCGCCCTGGAGAGGTCACTCCAGTGCCGCTGTTGCAGCAGGATCTGCCGCTCGAGGATCGGTCTCTACAGCCACAGCCGGCGCTGCAGCTCCACCACAGACTGACCATGGGCGCAACTCCATTGTCTCCCGAGACAGAAGGACGCCCACACAATGTTAACAGCGATACCGCGCAGAACGTTGAACCAATAGTATTGAAAAGTATCGCAGAGTAGTAACAACCCTTTGAGTGCTTTGGAGACATGAAGTAAACACTGTGAAGAGGAAGTGAAATGAGGCCCACGCCCAGATCTGTGCAAGCAAGACAACCGAGCAAGAGTTTGGAGGGCGGATGAAGGCACGACACCTTACGAAGAGTAAAGATGATCAGAAAATTTCCTACAAATGCAACTATAGACAGAGGAAGACTTGTAGCTAATATGAATATCTTCTGAGCTGCTCCGAGACCATAAAAGCAGAAAAACTCTGGGCTTGTTGTCGTATAATTTCCATCCTCAGTTGAATTCGCCATGATTTCATCCAGGCTTTTTCTCGATTCGAAATCCAAGCTCTAGCAGAACTGTTTGAGTTGATTTACAGCAGTCAATTTTTACCTCTTCAAAGTCTATTCGTCTCTCCTGAAAGAAATATATCTTATTAGACGTGTTCTTGTGTAGTATCGCTGAGTATTTTCACGAGTTGTGCCGTATTTTGACGAGCCCATGAGGAAAGTCAAAATAGAAATAACGAATGAAAATACTAAGCGATACGACTCACCAAAACGTCTAATAAGTTATTTATTATCCAACACGCCAAATTGTTATTGCACTGCGGGCGAATTTCGCGGATATTTATTTACGGGGAGTGCGTGACAGAAGTATGCGAAGCGTTCTCTTGTTGTTGTTTCTATTTTCATCAATAAAAAATTAAATTTCATTGTCGTCTAACTGCTTTTCTTCCTCCGATTTATCGGATAAACTTCGATCAATGATATTCGCGAGCTATTCCGACTCTTTGTCCTCAAAAAAATAATTTCAATTGTCCGCCACTTTATTTTGTAACTTCATTCCAATTCGTCACTTATGCGATCGGAGAAAACCTTTCTTACCGGTTCTCTGGAGCACAAATACCGCGTGATAATTGTACTCGTCTTGGGCGTTATACTCTACGGAGTGTAGTTCGATGATAAACATATCTTATTAGACGTTTTATTGTGTAGTATCGCTGAGTATTTTTACGAATTGTGCCATATTTTGACGAGCTCGCAGGGCAAGTCAAAATACAAACAACGACAACACGCCAAATTACTATTTTTTTCAGTGCGGGTGAATTTTGTGAATATTTCTGGAGTACAAATATCGCGTGATTTTTGTACTCGTCTCGTGCGTTTTCTTGTACTCTAGGAAGCCCAAATGGATAATAAAGAAAGTTATCTTTTACCCACAAGATCATATTATAAATTAACGACATGATATGATGGTAATATATTCCTAAACATTGGCGATTTCTCCGCCAAACATGGAACTTTATCGCTTGGATTGGTTGCAAGCTCAGCTGTGACTATTCGTGCTAGAGAACAAGAGGTGTTTCCATGGCTATCAATAAATACAAAAACTGTGTATTCACAAGAGTATATATGGTACTCTCAAGAAACTACCTTTTATAGTATGATAGCTTGTATCGAGGCCTGAAACTATTTTTAAACAATTTTTTTAAACTGTGAAAGTTTTACAAAGAACTGATGAAATACAAGTCATGCAGCTTTCGCCGATCTACAGCATCATCATCGACCCCTCATCCCTATCTAGTCTTCGTCGAGATAAGTTGGGAAAAATCATTCAGTTGGTGGCGTCTCTTTGTTGCAAGGTAATCGACAGAGAGCGACTTTTTCCAACTTGAATTGTTCGTAATATGATCCTCATCCTATTTCCCTGGCCTCTGACGGGTGACAAATGTGCCTCCATAATTATCACGTCATAAAGAACTTAACAAAAAATAAATAAAAATTGCCCTCTTGATAACTAAACATAATGTTACTACTGGGTTTTTTTGCCACTTGAAGTACAGAACACTGAGAGTTGCTTTCGCAGATATATCACATGTGTGGGTCACAAACGGGCAAAACCCCCAAAATTTTCGGGAAACAAAATCAAAATCAACTAGGAACTGACTTACCTCATCTCAATTTAGTCGCTATGGTGAGTGAAAAAATATCTTTGGCATCAAACAATTAGATGAAAAAAAAGGGAGACTTGGAAAAATTATGGATCTTTGGTCGAATTATCAAACGAAAAAACGCCAGTATCTCCTGTGTTTGCCTTTTTTTCTCTTCGCCTTCTGTTTGCCGTCTTCGTTGTGGTTTGCTTACTCTGCTGTTAGTGAGTGCCACATGTCAAAAAGAGTTAACCGATGTAAATGATGCGCGCATTATGACAGGTGCAAAACTTTCACTTATTTTCTTACTTGTACGTTTCTTGATATATATAAAGAAAGGAACTGAAACTAGATGAACTTCCACCCTAATTATTTATGATCCTTCACCAAATAAAATGTTCAAATAACAGCTGGGTGCTGTGTCCTTAAAACTGTTTCCTCTCCTCTATTTTTGGTAGAAACTGTTTGTTTGGTAAGCAAGTTAATGAAAATGATATAAAAAATGACAAAATTGCCCGAGGCGATAGCCGAGGGCAACTCTTACGCTTCTTTCGTGAGTGCTCTCCAAACTTGAGTGCTCTCCAAACTACCCACGTGCTCTGTAACTTGATAGTGCACAGCTGAAAGCATGAACCAATTGTTTTAGAACATAGCCGGTGGAATTGTGCATCAAATCCGACGCGAAAAACGGACAACAATATTAGTTGAAGCGAATCGTGACGGCGCTGATGCCGAGTCTCCTTTTCCCTTGTTTTTCTCTTTTTCTGCCTCATTTAAGAACTCTAGCCCAAGGGAAAAGGTCGAAACATTGTCTTCGTTTTCGGACTAGTAGGCCGAGTYTGTGTTTGTATCCATTATTGTCGCGAAATATATTATTTTTCCCCGCGCTAACAATGGCCGCTCGCGCGAAAAAAAAATTTCTGGCGAAGCAATTTGCTGACGCTATCAGCGTGCACTATCGGGATTTTGAGCACGCGTACGTGTATTGAATTTGATCGCGCGGTTCTGCTAGCTATGTTCTAAAGTAAGATAACTTGTATTGAGACCTGAAACTAATAACAGTTTTTTTTAAACTGTGAAACTTTTAGAAAGAACTGATGAGTCATCGGACCGATCCACAGCATCATCATCGATCCCTCGTCGAGTTAACAATTGGTTCATGCTTTAGCGTGCACTATCGAGTTATGGAGCACGCGGAAAGTTTGGAGAGCACGAAAGAAGCGTAAGAGTTGCCGGAGGCGATAGCCGAGGGCAACTCTAGCTTCTTGAGTGCTCTCCAAACTTTTCACGTGCTCTGTAACTCGATAGTGCACAGCTGAAAGCATAAACCAATTTGTTTAGAACATAGCCGGTGGAATTGTGCATCAAATCCGACGCGAAAAACGGACAATAATATCAGTTGAAGCGGATCTTGACGGTGCTGATGCTGAGTCTCCTTTTCCTTTGTTTTTCTCTTTTTCTGCCTCACTTAAGAACTCTAGCCCAGGGAAAAGGTCGAAACATTGTCTTCGTTTTCGGACTAGTAGGCCGAGTTGGCCGCTCGCGCGAAAAAAAAAATTTCTGGCGAAGTCGGATTTGCTGACGCTATCAGCGTGCACAATCGGGATTTTGAGCACGCTTACGTATAATGAATTTGATTGCGCGACTCTGCTAGCTATGTTCTAAATATAGTTAGGAAAAGTCAATTAGTTGGTGGCGTCTTTTAGCCGCAGGGTTCGTAATATGATCCTCGCATCCTCCTTCTCTGAGCCTCTGACGGGTGACGTAGGTACCTCCATAATTATCACCTCAAAAAGAACTTCACAAACACAAAATAAAAATTGCTCTCTTGATAAACAAATATAACATTACAACTGGGGGATTTTTGTCGCTTGAAGTACAGAAAATTGAGAGTTGCTTTCGGAGATATATCACATGTGTGGGTCACAAACAGGCTAAACACTAAACATTTTTGGGAATCCAACTTGATTTAGATTAATAATAAAAAAGCCCTTTCCAAAACTCCGAGTTGCAACCATTTTGGTCGCTATGGTAAGTGAAAAATATATTTGGCGACTAAACTTTCGACGAAAGTCGCCAATTTGCGACCAACAGATAAAAAAAAGGGAGACTTGGAAAATTGACGATCTTAAGTCGAATTAACAAACGAAAAAACGCAAGTATCACCTGTAATTTTCATTTTTTCATATAAATAAATCTTTCTTTTCGTCGCGTTCTCTCTGCAGTCACCGTTGTGGTTTGCGTAAGATCACACATCAGAAAGAGTTAACCGATGTAAATGATGCACGCATCCTGAGAGGTGCAAAACTTTCAGCTATATTCTTACCTGTACGTTTCTTGATATATAAAGAAAGGAACTGAAACTATAAGTTCTTCCACCCTAATTATTTTATGATCTTACACCAAATAACATGGTCAAATAATAGCTGGATGCTGTGTCCTTAAAACTGTTTCCTCTCCTTTATTTTCGTAGAGAGTTTGATTGGTTGGCAAATTAAGGCAATTGATAGAATCCCTATTTTCAAGCCATGAATGGGAAACTTCTTGTTTTGCACCCCGGCGGCTATGGTGCCATAAACACAAATTATACGTAGCATATCTTATATTATTAAAAACTGGATCATTGAGCTGACAACAGCTCACGCAGACAGCTGTTAACATCTGCGAAGGTTATTAGAGAGGAAGTTATTTCAATTTTAACTTCTTCGATGGGGGCATCAGTGGCTTTCAGGGGGACCAGTTGTGACCAACAAAGTAAAAAAGGGGGACTATAAAAAATGACGGCCAACTAACTGCCAATGAAGGGAGATCATAACAATATCACAGCGTCTTATGTGAGAATCGGGTAAATCTTGTGGTGACACAACCAAAAAATTACAGTGATATTTGACAACTACCACGGTTATCTTGTTGAAAAAAATCTGATTAAACAGCCGTTATATGATTCATTTACTGGCATTCTTTAGCAGCTTTCTAGTTTACAATTGCTGATGCACTAAAACAGAGTTCGAGGCGTCATAATTTGCGTTTAAAAAATTCATACAAAAATTTAATTTTGCAATGGAATACATTTATCTCAGCGGATTATTGTCTCCATCAAGTACTAGACTAAACAGGGCCAAAACTAACTTGATCTAGGTTTCCTGAGTAGGTAAACGAAAAAACCGTCTGATCATGTGCTTCATGGCCTGTCTCATATCTCTCATCTTCCAGCAATACAGGAATGGGTTTAGAGTCGAGTTAAATAGCAACAGAGAAATCGCAAGAACCCAGGCGAAGTTAAGGAAAGGTGTATTCAATCCACTGATAGAAATAAAACCACCAACAAAACTATAAGGGAGATAACAAGCCAATAATGCCATTTGTACCCACAGCGCTGTGGACACTGTCTTTCTGTATCTCGCTTTGTTCAGTTGAATTCCTTCTCCATTCTGTTGTCCTTGGTAAGCTTGATCTTGCACTTGGGCTTGAGAAAGGCGAAGGGTGCGATAAATTTTGGTGTAGCAGAAAGAGGAGATCATTAAGCATAATAACAACACTGCAGAAGCGATGCTGATAGCAATGTGTAGATTGTAAAGGAATACTGTTGCATTGAGAGTGCTGAGGACCCAAAAGGTAAAAACGAGAATTCTTACTCGCCTCTCAGTTACTACCTCTCTGTATCTCAGCCACAGCAACAGAGCAAGAAGTCTGTCCACACTTATTGCAGTTATTGTCAACAGTGATACCGCGCAGAATATTGAACCAATAGTATTAAAAAGTAATGCAGAGTAGTAACAACTCTTTGAATGCTCTAAAGACATGAAGTAAGCACTGTAAAGAGGTTGCGAAATTAGGCCCACGCCCAGATCTGTGCACGCGAGACAACCGAGCAATAGTTTTGAGGGCGGATGAAGGCACGACACCTTACGAAGATTAACAATGATCAGAACATTTCCTACAAATGCAACTATGGATAGAGGAAGATTTGTAGCTGAAAGGAATATCCTCTGACCTGCTCCGTAAGCAATAATGCAGAAAAACTCTGGGCTTGTTGTCGTATAATTTCCATCCTCAGTTAAATTCGCCATGATTTCATCCAGGCTTTTTCTCTATTCGCAATCCAAGTTCTAGTAACGCTATTTGGGTTGATTTACAGCAGTCACTTTTTACCTCTCCAAAGTCTATTTGTCTCTTCTGAAATAAAGAAAGTTATGTCTTATCCACAAGATCATATGATAAATAAATGACATGATATGATGGTAGTATATTCCTAAACATTGGCGATTTCGACGCCAAACATGGACCTTTATCGATTGGATCGGTTGCAAGCTCAGCTCTGACTATTCGTGCTACAGAACATGCAAGAAGTGTTTTCGTGGCTGTCAATGAATATAAAAACTGTATATTCACAACAGTGTATATGGTGCTCACGCGAAACTACCTTTTATAGTATGATAGCTTGTATTGAGGCCTGAAACTACTAACAATTTTTTTTAAAATTGTGTGAAATTTTTAGAAAGAACTGTTAAAAAATGAGTCGTCAGGCCGATCCACAGTATCATCATCGATCCCTTATCCCAATGTATTTCTCGTCGAGATATAATTAGGAAAATTCAATTAGTTGGTGGCGTCTCTTAGCTGCAAGGTAATAGACAGAGAGCTATTTTTCCAATTTGCATCGTTCGTAATATGATCCTCGCATCCTCTTTCTCTGAGCCTCTGACGGGTGACGCAGGTGTCCCATTATTATCACATCATTAAGAACTTCACAAACACAAAATAAAACTTTCTCTCTTGATAACTAGATATGATATCACAACCGGGTTTTTTTCCAATTCCCAAATTGTGCTTTGCGCTTGAACTACATAAAACTGAGAGTTGCTTTTCCAGATCTATGACACAGGTGGGTCACAAACAGGTAAAACCCAAAATTCGGGAATTCAACTTAGAGTCGCATAATTGAATAAAATCTCGTGTTCTGATTGGTTAACGAAGCGAGGTATTTAGCGTGGAATTGCGAGTTGAAAACGAGGTCATATTGCTTCGCCTCTCTAGCTTCGCCCTCGAGATAAAAACAAACAACATCATTACTGTTTTCTTATTTCCTACTTTTATTCAATCCTGCGGTTCTAGGAGAATACATTACCTGACGAGGGAATTCCGCGTAAAATTGCGCTTTAAAACCGATGTTGTACTCATCGCTTCGCGATTCGTGCGATGTCGGTTTTCGTGTGCAATTTAACGGGGAGTGCCCTCTCAGCTAATGAATTTTCCTATAAAATCAAATAGGAACTGATGTACCCCAGGTCATTGAAAATTGACTCTAATTAGAGTTACGGCCTTGAATTTCCTCAACAGAGTCGGGTGGATTAGACACGTCGTCATCCCCCGAGAAGCCTCTATCGCAAAAAATCGCTCCACATTGCACTGGACACCTGGAGGAATACGCAAGAACTCCTAGCGGCGAACAGTAGAGAAATATATTAAGGAGATGGCGAGGATTTGGAGAAGCATCAAGCTCATGGCAAAGTACCGACAGATTTTGAGGGAGCAAGTCGCTGCCCTACACTTAGGCGTAAAAGACATGAAGGAGTGAGTGGGTGAGTGAGTGAGTGAGTGAGTGAGTGTCAGTTACGAAAAAGAAGGAGAAAAATTGACCTTATAAGTATTAACATGCTGATATGTTTTAGGAGCCATCTCAGTCATGGGATAACGTGGAGAAGGGCATGCTTGTGTTTCAGACGGCTACAAAGAATCAGCAATTTTTCCAAATTCCAGTGTCTGTGGTTGATCGAGGTTAATGGAAAAACACCTATTTAGTATTCCACGCTGCGACCATTTTGGCGAGTAAAAGATAAAATTTGGAAACAAGTCTCCAATTGGCGACCAACAGATTAAAATGATGGAAGACTTGGAAAACTTATGGATTTTTGTCTGAATTACAAAACGAACAAACGCCAGTATCTCCGCCTCCTGGTTAGCTCAACTGGTTAGAGCGCTGGTTTGTGTTGTGCGGGAGGTCGAGGGTTCGAGCCCCGGCCGGACCAATACTCATGGTCTTAAAATAACTGAAAGTAAACATGCAAAAGTAAAGTGATCGAATGATACTGTAACGAAACACCTAACAAACAAAACCTGGATTTGCTTTGGTGGCTTTAAAAAGTAATATAGGATTTCCAATCTTACCTCCATTAACGGTGGGCCTGGTTCGAAGTCAACGTGTCGTTTCTTAAGAACAAGTAAATCATCTTGTGGAGTGGTAACATTAACCCCTTTTGCACTATTCCCCAGATCCCTCTCGTCGTTACTTTCCTCTTCCCCGGTCTCTTCGTCACTGCTCCCTTTGTTTTGTTCCAATCGACTACTCGAATCGATGACGGAGATCTTTGAGTCACCTTGCTTACCATACCTTTTCTCTGCTTTCTATAAAGTACTTTAAGGTAACTGTGGAGGATTTGCTACCTTTCTATAATATCAAGAAATGGATAGATATTCTAGTCTTCGCGGCTAAGGACGAATAAACCGTAGGCCCCATCTCCTGCAGGGTTAGGGGTAGGAGACGTTAATTTCCCACGCACGAGATTACTGTGTGGTGGATGACCTCCTCTGGGGTGGGATGGGTGGGTGAAGGTGAGAGCGTTACATGGACTGTAGCGGCTGCCAGAGGCGCCTGATATGTTGACGTTCGATCTCAACCTTAACAACAACATGTTAAGCGCTATTGATCAGTACCTGTGAATATGCGCGATATAAATTGGTAATAATTAGTAATTAGTTTAATCACGTTCTCTTTGCCGTCACCGTTGTGGTTTGCTCAAGGTCTCTACTGTCAGTTAGTGCCACACGCGAGAAAGAGTTAACCAATGTAAATGATGCGGGTATTGTGACAGGTGCAAAACTTTCACTTATTTTCTTACCTGTACGTCTCTTGATATATCTAAAGAAAGGAACTGAAACTAGGACAACTTCCACCCTAATTGTTTTGGGATCCTACATAAAATAAAGTGGTCAAATAATTAAATTCTAAAGTAAGGAATTCAGTATTTGATTGGATCATTGTGAGGGTCTACAGTAAATTAATTCAACGCAAGATATAATTTGTTACGCGCGCTATTCAAAAAGCGCTTAAGGTCAACCTACAAAAATATTGACATGCTCTTGATAGGTTCATCAAAAGCATGTTCTTTAAAGGTACCCCACTCCCCTATGAAATACAGGTTGTTCGTCTTTTCCAAAGAAATGCAACTTTGGTTTCCTTCGTTTGTTATTTCTAAAGCCTATTTCAGTGCGTTTGGTAGATTCTCTGTTCCTCCTTATTTGTTCCGTGTCACTTTTTTCACGATGATGTTCTTGTTTTCCTGTTCCTTCCTCAGTCCCACACTCTATCTTAAGTCCCAGTCTTCATGCTAAAAATAATATTTGGCATCTAAAAATTTCGACGAAAGTTGCCAATTGTCGACCAACAGATAAAAAAAGGGAGACTTTAAAACTGTCCTTCTTTAGTCGAATTATCAAACGAAAAAGCGCCAGTATCTCCTGTATTTGCTTTTTTTTTTATTATCATTTAATAAATCTCTAGTTTCGTTACGTTCTCTTTGCCCTCACCGTCGTGGTTTGCTCAACTGAGGTCTCTACTGTCAGTGAGTGCAAAACTTTCAGTTATTTTCTTACCTCTACGTTTCTTGATATATATTGAGAAAGGAACTGAAAAGAACGTCCACCCTTATTATTTTATGATCCTACACCAAATAAAATGGTCAAATAATAGCTGGGCGCTACGTCCTTAAAACTGTTTCCTCTCCTTTACTTTCAGTAGAGACTGTTTGTTTGGTCAGCAAGTTGATGAAAATGATATCAAAAATGACAAAACTGCCTATTTTCAAGGCATAAATGGGAAACTTCTTGTTTTGCATCCCAGCGGCTATGGTACCATCAACACAAATTACACTTCGATAGCTTGAATTATTAAAAACTAAATCATTGATTAACGCAACTCATTGTTTTCCTTGCCTCAGGTTATGAGTCATTGTACCTTTGCGTGGGCATGGAGACGAGTTAAACCGAAAGTGTTTTTGTACATCGTAACATTCCGTTTATTTTCCACACTCGCGCTTGTTGGACATGAGATGATTATAGCCAACTCGGCCCTAAGAGCCTCGTCGGCTGTCTATCATCTCATGTCATCCCAACGCGCACTCGTGGGATGATTGTTAATTATTTCGGCAACAACAGCTGAGACAGCTGTAAACAATAGTCCATTTTACAGTTGTGTGCTTGGTTGCCAAGCCTTTGAACACGAACAGGACAGGCTAGGGGTGACCTTGTTATGATACAAACCTCGCTGCCTTTCAAATGTAAATCACTTTGTTATCATGCTAACTAGATACAGGTCTCTATCACAACAAGGTCACCTTTAGCCTCACTCTGCACCCGATTCGCCTTTAATCTACCGCTTATAAGCGAACCTAATTATTCTCAAATTACCGCATACATGCTGATAAAGTAGGCCCTATTTACCTACCGAGATTAGATTACCGAGAACAAAACAAAGGCCAAAACAAAACAAAACAAAGGAAATGATTTCAGAATGTTTTTCTGTTCTTTTGGCAAGGTTCAAGCGAAAGAAAATTCATCGCTTTTACATCTGGTAAAAAGAGATCATGGATAAAATTCCACGCGTGAAGATTACTGAAGAACAGAAAAACATTCTGAAATCATTTCCTTTGTTTTGTTTTCCTTTGTTTTGTTTTGTTTTGGCCTTTGTTTTGTTCTCGGTAATCTAATCTCGGTAGGTAAATAGGGCCTACTTTATCAGCATGTATGCGGTAATTTGAGAATAATTAGATTCGCTTATAAGCGGTAGATTAAAGGCGAATCGGGTGCACTCTGAATCAAAGGCTTAGCAACTAAGTACACAACTGTAAAATGGCCTATTGCAAAGATGTTAAGAGTGTGGCTAATTCTGTTAATAGAGACAAACCAGTTATTTGAGCGAAAGTTATTTCAATTTTGACTTGTTCGATAACGCTTGGCAAATTATTCAATCTCGTGAACTTTAATCAGCATCGCGCTTGCCGAAATAACTTGTTGTATAATTTGTTTTGAACGGCTCCGGCTTGTGCTCGAGAAACTTATCAAATGCTGCAGCTCTTCATTATACTAAAGCCTGTTCATGTTTCCTCTTCTATGTTCATTTCCTGTTGCAATTTCCAATTCCATGTTGATTGCATCCATACAATTGTTTCTAGTATTATGTTCCCCGCCCTCTTTTTTTTTCTCATTTCATAGGAGTACAAGTGATAAAGATCAACATGTTTCAAAACGCTCCGCCGCCTCTGCAGTTTTTAGAATCCTTGTTCATGTACCCTGTTCTCTGTTCGTTTCCTGTTGTAATTTTGTACCCCAAGTTGATTGCATCCGTTCGATTGTTTCTAGTTTTATGATCCCCGCTTTCTCTTTTCATTGAAGTACAGTGATGAATACAGTGATGAACTGATGTTTGCTTGTTAAACAGTACAAAGCACACATGCCCTTGAGTTTGTTGCTTCAATGCCACCATAATAAGTCCCTGGTTTACAAGCAGTAGGATCCATGGATCCCCCAGGGCAGTAGTAGCCAGGAGGACA